TCTGTTCAGGTCCCTCCTGACCCTAGCTACTATGAAATACTTTGTCCCTTTCTTTTTAGATACCAAACCTTTCCCCATCCTTGGTTTCTGTACAAATATTTCCTACCACACTTGTCAAGTCTTTCCGCTTTAAATTATCTTAAGGTTGACTTTCCCCTTCCGTTTCTTACAATGGGTCTTGTTCTCCTATTAATCATGCATCTGTGTCTCCACTTTGCTTATCTGTGATGACCAAAGACAGATGTTCTAAGACAGGGCAAGGGATTTTCCAGGTGAACTGATGCTCTAAGACTGATAACATGCATGACAAATCACACAGGACTTACATCACAAGTTTCTGTTAGAGATGGGATGGGATGGGACGGGATGCACCCGCAGCAAGTTGGCAGATGACAGCAAGCTTGGGGGGAAGGGGAGGAGTAGATACACTGGAGAGTAGGGCTAGGATTCAGAAACCTTGACAAATTGGAGGACTGGACCAAAATAAATCTTACGGGGTTCAATACGGATAAGTGTCACTTCAGACAGACCAATCCCATGCACAGCCCTGGCCTGGTACAGGCTGGGGACTGAGTAGCTAAGCAGCAGCTCTGTAGACGAGGACCCGGGAGTTACAGTGGATGACAAGCTGAAGATGAGCCAACAGCATGCTCCTGAAGACCAACAGCATACTGGGCTGTAGGACTATTACAAACAGATCAACAGAAGTTATTCTTCTCCTCCGTTCAGCACTGGTGACGCCGCATCTCAAGTACTGCATCCAGTTTTGTGCCCCCCCCACTACAGAAAGGATGTAGATAAGAGAGGCCAGCAGAGGGCAATCAAAATGGTTAGGAGGCTGGGGCACATGACTGCTGAGGAGAGGGTGAGGGAAATGGGCTTATTTAGTCTGAAGGAGAGAAGATTGAGGGGGGATTTAATAGCAGCCTTTAGCTACCTGAAGGGTGGTTCCGAAGAGGATGGAGCTGGACTGTTCTCAATGGTGGCAGTAACGGAACAAAGAGCAATAGTTTGACGTTCCAGCAAGGCAAGTTTAGGTTAGATATGAAGAAAAACCTCTCACTAGGAGGGTAGTAAAGCACTGGAACAGGTTAC